GCACCAAAACTATACGGAGAAATGTTGCTAGAGTTTTTATCTCTGGGTCTCGCCAAGCCCCAGCAACCCCATGGCCCACTTATAAAATAAACACATAGACGCTTATATTATTTAAACTGCTCGGCCATTAGCTCAGGCCTACCATTGTCTAGCTCTTACTCTTATACTCAGCCCATTTCTGTTAATCTATATGTTGTCACGTGTTCCATGGCTTTACCTGCTGCCTTTACATGATGCTCTCTGGATGGCAGGCTGGCATCTCCTCCTCTCCGCTTTCCTGTTCTCTCAATTTTCCTCTCTGCTAGTCCCACCTATACTTCCTGCCTGGCTACTGGCCAATCAGTGTTTTATTTATCAATCAATCATCCACAGCAGAGAAACCCTGTCTTGAAAAACAAAACAAAACAACAACAACAAAAAAATTGGGCTGTAGGCAGCAAGGTTGTAGGGTATTTAATTTTGATTGATAGGGGAAAGCCCATCCCATTGTGGGTGGGGCCACCTTGAGCTAGTAGTCCTGGATTCTATAAGAAAGTAGGATGAGCAATCCATGAGGAGCAAGCAGCACCCCTCCATGGCGTCTGCATCAACTCCTGCCTCCAGGTTCCTTCCCTGCTTGAGTTCCTGCCCTGACTTCCTTCAGTGGTAGACTACGGTGTGGAAGTGTAAGCCAAATAAACCATCTCTCCCCCATTTGTTCATGGTGTTTCATAGCAGCAATAGAAACCCTAACTAGGCCATCTGGGTTGTTTTATCTGAAAAATATCCACTTATGTACACTTGAGAGAAAGTCCAGAGAGGCAAGTACGGACATGGCAGGGCCCTGGGTGTCTCCTCAAATCTGTTCCTCATGTTTGCTCTGGAAGTCTTTTCCTCCCTTCTTTACCACAGTGTTATTTTGAATTACCTGATGGGGCTGGAGAGATGGCTTAGCAGTTAAGAGCACTGACTGCTCTAACAGAGGACCTGGGTTCAATTCCCAGCACCCACATGGCAGTTCACAGCTGTCTGTGACTCCAGAATCCAACACCCACACACAGACATACATAAACACCAATACACTAAAAATAAATAAATTAAAAGGAATATGTGATTATAGATAGGGCTGAACATTAAACCTTTTTATCCCTTTGGCCTACAGTCTCTAAAGGATAAGCTAATACAAGAGAAAAAGCTGTCCAACATGTACCAAGAACAGTGCATTTCCCTAGAAGAGGAACTTGCTCGAATCCGGGAGGAAGAGGGGGTGAGGAGGGAGATCTTCAAGGTATGTGGTGCTCTCACACTTGTGACGACATGCAGGCGGCTCTGGGGAATGATTCTCTCCTCTTCATAAACTCCTCATCACCCGTTTTTAGGATCGCTCCAACAAGATGGGGAAGCGCTTACAGATAATGACAAAGCGCTACGAGGCCCTGGAGCAGCGACGCATCCTGGAAGTCGAAGGTTTCAAGACAGACATTAAGGTTCTTCGACAGAAGCTAAAAGACCTGGAGCAAATGCTCTATAAGGTACTTTTGCTCCTTATAGAGTTAGGAGAGGGCGACGGGGTAGCCAGGAGGGTTCCTCAGAAGATGGCCAAGGATGTGGTGTGGATTTCAGTAGAGTGTGTGTGTGAAAAGAACAAGTCAGTGGCACTACAGAAACCCGGAAGGATGTGCCGTGGCCTTACTTGGACACCAACAGATGAGTATCCTTGAAATCCTTGAATCCTCTGAACATCAGTTCGACAGGAACACTCTGTTGAAAAAACAGACAACTTACAAATTACCACTCTTCCCAGTTCAACCAGATGAAAGGAATTAGGTTTGGGGGAGGGGAGCTGGACAGATGGCCCAGTGAGTACAGTTGCTGCCTGTGCAAGCATTAGGACCTGGGTTCAGATCCCTGGCAGCCCCGTGAAATCCAAGCCCAGACACACATCTGTAACCCGGTGCTGAGAGATGAGGACAAGGAGCCCAGGATGTGCTGGCCAGCCAGTGTAGCCAAAGCAGTGACCTCCAGGTTCACTGAGAGACTATCTGTCAGGCCCACACCTTTATTCGAGACCAGTATATGATCCTCATAGCAAATTCCAGTGCAGCCAGGACTGCATAGTGACACCGTGTCTCAGAAACAAGACAGCAAAGGTGGAGTGTTGCTGGAGGGCTTCTCTCCAGGTTCCCCAAGCCCCACAGTCCCACAATCCACATATAAAATAATCACTTAGACGCTTATATCACTTATAAACTGTATGGCCGTGGCAGGCTTCTTGCTAACTGTTCTTATATCTTAAATTAACCCATTTTTATAAATCTATACCTTGCCATGTGGCTGGTGGCTTACCAGAGTCTTTACATGCTGCTTGTCCTGGCGGTGGCTGCAGTGTCTCTCCGCCTCAGCCTTCTGCTTCCCAGAATTCTCCTCTCTCCTTGTCCCACCTACTTCCTGCCTGGCCACTGGCCAATCAGTGTTTTATTTATTGACCAATCAGAGCAATTTGACATACAGACCATCCCACAGCAGTGGAGAGTACCTGAGGACACCCAGTGTCATTCACTGACCTTCACTCTCGTGTGCATGGGTGTGCACGGGTGTGTACACACACACTATTCTCTCAAAAAAAAAAAAAAACTGTCTGTTTTTAATGATGTACTTTCCCAGATACGTTTTAGCATCAGTATCTTGAGACCTTTGGTGGAGATTTAATAATCACTGTTAAGTCCTAACTAGTTGCTATTGTTCTGAACAAAGTTGATAGAAAAAAAAGAAGAAAGAAATGCTTTCTATCATTTTTGGCAAAATTACCAATAATGTTACTTATTGGTCATGTTTTTTTTAAAATTATTATTAACGTTTATTTATTTGTGTGTGTGGTATGTATGCCATGGTACATGTGTGGAGGTCAGAGGACAACTTGTGGAAGTCAGTTCACTCCTTCCACCATGTGGCTCCTGAGGTCCAACTCAGATCCCCAGGCTTGGCGGCAAGTGCCTTTACTAACCAGAGTGATGTCACGATGCTGTTCCGGTCTTTCTGCCTGTGGTTAGTTGTTTATGAATCTCTATCCCAAGCTTCACTGCCCTTTTATTTTGTTTTGGTTTTGTTTTTGAAATGGTGTCATGTCGCCCAGGCTGTCCTCGAACTGCATAGGTAGCCAAGGATGATCTGAACTCTTGATGGTCTGCCTTCTTCTCTGAAGCCCTTTGACCAATTAAACATTTTCATTTTAAAATTAGTCACTGAGGAATTTAGGATTGCATTTATCATATGTAAAGAAGGAGCCAGCCAGCCTAGTCTGTTCTTTGTGACTTGATTTCTCTCCCTTAGCTGATGCCATGATTCCTTCTTTTTTCTCTCTTTGCTCAACTCTGTAGGCAACAGCGAATGCCCAGGGAAACCAGGACCTTGCCATTCTGTGTGAAGTTCGTGACAGCAACAGAAGAGCTCACAGGATACAGGGAGAGCTGAAGGAGCTCAAGTCTAAAGTGTTCGGTCTGGAGAACGAGCTCAGGCTGTGTTGATGTCTACTTTCTGGTGAGGTCGGCTTTCCGGGACCTGAGGCACGGGCACCTGTTCCCAGGCAGTGGACGTGGAGTTAGCCCGAGTAGTGGTATTTGTTTTTATAAAGATGGTGTTAAGGGCATGATGGCTCACATCTGTAATCCCAGCTCTTGGGAGGCAGAGACAGGAGGATTGCCACAACTTCAAGGTAGAGGCAGGTAGAGCTCTGTGATTCAAGGCCAGCCTGGTCTACATAGTAAGTTCTAGGCCATCCAAGGCTACTTAGTGAGACCCTGTCTCCAAAAAACAACAACAAACATCAAAACTAGAAAGGGAAAGAAAAAAAACAAAATGAAGCAGTGATAAATTGGGATGCTGAAAGTCTGGGCTTGCACTGACCTTGCTGTTTCACTGTTGGACCTTCTGAACTATAGCCTGGATTACTTGGAGACATTCCTGCTTTTCTTTTACATATTGACAGGCCTTTTGCTCTTTAAAAAGATGGTAATGGGGGCACTGGAGAGATGTCTTAGTGGTTAAGAGTACTAGCTGCTCTTCCAGAGGCCCTGGGTTCAGTCCTGGCACTTCTGACATCCTCACACAGGCATACACACAGGCAGAACACCAGTGCACATGAAAATAAATAAAAGGTCAGAGGTAGCATGTACCTTAGCTGGTGAAGTGCTAGTCCAGGGGACAGAACCCCGGGTTCTCGCCCTAAGGCTACATAAATCCAGGCATGGTGGCTCATCTGTAATCAGCATTGGAGAGAGGTATAGGTGGATCTGAAGTGCACATTCACCCTGCGCTATATGGTGAGTTCCAGGCTAGCCTGGGCTACAAGAGACCATGTCTAAAAAACAAACAGACAACGATGACAAAAACTCAGGAAGAGATGTTTTGCAGAGGTTGGCTAAGTGTCAGTGGAAGAACATGTTTCCTGCTGCATCAAAAGCATTCATTGACGTGCATTCCTTCTTGGCGGGGCAGGAAGGAGGCAGCAAATTACATACACGATGGCAGTTATTGAGTTGTGTTTTAGCTGTGTGTGAACATGTTCCAAGTGATGACCACCAGGAGGCAGTACAGCCCGGGCTCTTAAGTAAACATGGTCATTAAGACAAAGGTGCTACTTTATCGAGAGTGGGCAAAACCAAAATGATACTCAAGTCAAAAAAGTTTGACATTTTATCAATTTTTTTTTTCAAAAATATGATTCAAAGTATTTTCAATAAAATCTGTAGTTTAAAATATTTCAGTGTTCCATGATGTCTTATGCCTTGTATAAGCATTTATCTCAGTTTACTTTCTTTTTTAAAAATTATTTTTAGCCAGGCAGTGGTGGCACACGCCTTTAATTCCAGCACTTGGGAGGCAGAGCCAGGTGGATCTCTGTGAGTTCGAGGCCAGCCTGGTCTACAGAGCGAGATCCAGGAAAGGCGCAAAGCTACACAGAGAAACCCTGTCTCAAAAAACAAAACAAAACAAATTTATTTTTAATTTATTTATTTAGGGTGGAATTGGTGAGTCCTACAACATGTGTGGAGGCCAGAGGACAACTTGAGGGAGTTAGTTCTCTTCCTTTTCCTGTGTAGGTTTTGGGATCTAACTCAGGTTGTCAGGCTTGGCAGCAAGTGTCTGCCGGCTGAGCCATCTTACCAGCCCTTGTTTATACCATTTTTATAAATAGTGTGGTGCCTGGAGATAGTGGACATTCAGTTACAGTTAGCCTATGGTCTCTGCTTTGGTTTCAATTGGATTTCTGTAATTGCCCACTATTATCAGTCAGATTTCAAGACGTATTTAATACCATTCATTCCTTCAGAAATGTATTTAATTAAGCCCAGCATGGTGGCTTATACCTGTAATCCCAGCACTCAAGAGGCAGAAACATGATGATCATCATAGAGGCCAGTCTAGTCTATACAACAGGTTCCAGGTCAGCCCAGGGCTGCACACTGAAATTTTGTCTCTTAAAAAAAAGAAAAAGGGGGGCTGGAGAGATGGCTCAGAGGTTAAGAGCACCGACTGCTCTTCCAGAGGTCCTGAGTTCAATTCCCAGCACCCACATGGTGGCTCACAGCCATCTGTAATGAGATCTGGTACCCTCTTCTGTGTACATAATAAATAAAATCTAAAAAAAAGAAAAAAAGAAAAAAAAAAGGGTATAGAGATGGCTCTGGGACCTGCCTGGGGGAAGGGGGAGAAAATTAGCAAAAACACCAAAATGGCATCTAATAATCAGGTGTGGTGGAGCAGTTTCTAGGTAATAATCTGAGGAAAGATGAGAAACTAGCAGAAATTCGACAGACACTAGAGAGCTGGAAAGGGAGCCTTGAACTCGTGATAACAGCAGCAATAGCAGCAGAGACAGCCGGGAAACCCTCAGAAACAAGAGCCATTCTCAAAAGACACCTCTCACAGTTCAGCAGCCTGAGACCCAATGAACCACACTCACAGGTAACTAAGGGGAAGTAAAATGCCACATGCGAGAGCCTGACAAACAGCAGCTCTCCAAACATGCAGGAAGCCAACAGCCTGGTGACATCTGAAAGATACACCAGAACTTTCACGGGCTCCACGCAGTGTTCAGGACCAGAGCCTGAGGGGATTAACAGGCTTGCGCAGATCTGTGGACCCTCTTGTGTGCACTGCCCACAGACTGAACAGCACTGGCGATATCATCAACCAAAGGAAGACTGAGAGCCGAACGGGACCGCCCATCACAGAGCAGCCCCAGCAGCAGGGAGGGGTGTGAGAGAGAGAGGCCAGTCCGTTTTCATGTCCTCTATCTCCACCCGGCAAGTCAGCGGCTGGCTTAGCCCTTCTTGCCCCATTTTGCTTTTGTCTTTGTACCTCCCCCCTCCCCCTCCCCTGCAAGAGCCTCCACCCCCCCTCCCCCGCAAGAGCCTGCTGTCCTTTCCTTTCCCCTGCTTTTTCTTCCTCCAGTGGATGCAGTCTGGCCTGGTGCCTGGAGTCCAGCTGCCTCAGCCTCCTGAGCGATGAGACATTAGCGCCGTCTTTTCCTTCTACCTTAAGCAAAATTCTCTCAACCTCCCCCAGCTTCCTTTGTCCCTGAAGTCTCCCTCTGTGTCTGTTCTCTCTTCTGCTTTCGGAAATCCCAGTACTGATCACAAGTCTTACCGTGTTTGTTTCTTCTGCCTCCTTTCTCTTCCCGTGTATACCCACTATCCTGGCTAGATCTGTTTGTTTTTAAACATCATTTAAGGGGTGGGTGTGGTGGTGCATGCCTTCAATCTTAACACTCCAGAGGAAGAGAAAGGTGGAACTCTGAGTCTGAGGCCTGCTTGGTCTACATAGTGAGTTCCAGGCCAGCCAAATACAGTAAGATCCTGTCTGAAAAAAACAAAAAGAAGCCAGGCTATGGTGGTACACGACTTTGATCCCAGCACTTGGGAGGCAGAGGCAGGTGGATCTCTGTGAGTTTGAAGCCAGCCTGGCCTACAGAGCTAGTTCTAGGACAGCCAGGGTTACACAGAGAAACCCTGTTTTGAAAAAAAAAAAGAGAAAGAAAAAGAAAACCCAAAGAGATTATTTCTTGATTCATGTGTGTGTCTGTGTTTGTGTGCGTATATGCATGGATCTGTAAGGCCAGGAGAGGATGTTGTGTCCCTTGGAACTGGAGCTACAGTCATTTGTGTGTGTGTTTGTGTGCGTATATGCATGGATCTGTAAGGCCAGGAGAGGATGTTGTATCCCTTGGAACTGGAGCTACAGTCATTTGTGTGTCTGTGTTTGTGTGCGTATATGCATGAATCTGTAAGGCCAGGAGAGGATGTTGTGTCCCTTGGAACTGGAGTTACAGTCATTTGTGTGTGTGTGTTTGTGTGCGTATATGCATGGATCTGTAAAGCCAGGAGAGGATGTTGTATCCCTTGGAACTGGAGTTACAGTCATTTGTGTGTGTGTGTTTGTGTGCGTATATGCATGGATCTGTAAGGCCAGGAGAGGATGTTGTGTCCCTTGGAACTGGAGCTACAGTCATTAGTGAGCTGCCTGACACAAATGCCAGGATCTGAACTCGGGTCTTCCGGTTGAGCAGTACGTTTAACAGTCCCTGAGCTGGTTAGCTTTAATTGTTGACTTAACACAGCGTAGAGTCTCCTGAGAGGAAGCCACCATTGAGGAATTGCCTAGGTCAGATTGGCCTTCGGGTGGTGGTGTTGGGGGGGGTGCCCAGCCTACTGTGAGAGGTTGGTCCTGAACTATGTAAGAAAGCTAGCCTGCCTGTGAGCCACCAAGCGATGTCTTGCTTGGTTCCTGCCATACTTCTGTGTTGAGTGAGTTCCTTGGTTGGAAGCAATGCTATATGGAATAGCAGGTAGGCGTGCCTTCAAGTGTCTGCCTTGGCTTCCTCAGTGAAGGAGTGTGGCCTGGAGGTGTATGCAAAATAACCTTTCCTCCTGTAAGTTATTTTAGTTAGTGTTTTATCTCAGCAACAGAAAGGAAAGGAGAGCACCCCCGGGAACTAAGAACTGGTCCATTCAGTGCTGTCAGTGTCTCTGTCCCTTGAGATCATTAGTCCTTAAAGGATGGTTGCTGTGCTATTACTGTTTCCGTGGTAGCCCGACCCCTGGACAGTGATAGTGTTTTATAGGCAGGGAAGGCTGAGGATCGAGCCCGGTGCACTGAATAACCAGTTTATCAGGGGAAAA